AGGATAGCATCAAAATCAAGATCATAGATGGCAACTCCCGCCCTAGACAGCTCGCCCCAGCGAGGGATCTCTGTGGCCTCCGGGAACTGGTGACGCCACGCGTCCGTCACGCGGCCAAAGCAGCGCTGGGTGGGGTGCGCACCCCCACACTGCTCACCCGCACGGTCGCCGGTGCGCAGGACGTAGGTGCACGGACCAAAGCCCCCACCCCGCTGGCGTGCAGTGTACCACTCACGGAGCTGCTGAGGGGACAGGGTCTCACGACCGCGCTGCTGCTGCTGGCGTTGACCACCACCGGAGCCACTCTGCGCACACCCGCAACCAGCTCCACCGCCACCCCCGCCGCCTCCGCCGCCTCCGCTACTTCCGCCGCCTCCGCCGCCTCCTCCACCGCCACCACCTCTGCCACCTCCGCTCCCACCGCCACCGCCGCCGCCGCCTCCGTTTCCACTGCCGCCACCGTTACCTCCACCCCCACCTCCACTCCCACCGCCACCCCCACTCCCCCCGCCGCCTCCACCTCCACCTCCACCGCCCCCGCTCGCTCCTCCAGTGCCCCTGCCCCCCTTGCCCTTGCCAGAGCGGCGTCTCCCGCTAGGGGCAGACGCCGCACCGACAAACTCAAGACCAAGGAGGTCGACCGCAGCAGCAGAGGCAACAGAGGGCAGAAGGGGGGAGGGGGAACATCCCTCAAAGATGGGGGTGCGCGGGTCACCACGAGAGGCCCCTACAGCGACTATGCTCTTCTCGGCCGCAAGGAGGGACTTCTCGAGGAGGTCAACAGTGAGAGTGGTGGGACAGACTGAGAGGAAGTGGTCCCTGACTACGCGAAGGGAGTCAGGGAGGCGAGTGACTATGTAGTAGAGAGTGATGTACATGGGGGGGGGGGTTCTTGGCGCAGAAGTCAGCAGGAAGCGCAGCGCGGTAGCGAGTGTCTCTAGTGCGGGGGTGCGTAATGAGGTCAGCGACTGTGGGAAAGGCAGCAAGGTCAGGGAAGAGGTACGGTAGCATGAGGCGGCTCAGTGCAGTAGTGGCAGGGGAAGAGTAGCGTGCAACTACAGCGTCGTACAAGGTCTGAGCACTCTTGTACTGACTAAAGTGCGCACGCTCAGAGGTAGGCAGGTGGCGACGCACAACAAGACGTGCAGCAGCATCGCGCGTGGCCCACTGTGAGCGAACAGTGGCGTCAGCATCAGCAGCAGGAGCAGGAGAGGCACCAGAGGTGAGGTCAAAGAGGGAGAGACCGTCTGCCCTATCGCACTGTAAGAACAGCTGCAGGTCATCTACCCAGACGTCAAAGTCAATGGCTCGACCCTCGGCGTCAAAAGCGAGGACATTAGGGGTAGCCATGATAACAGTAGACTAGCAGCGCACACAGTAGGGAAAGGGAAGTGCAGTGACAGAGGCGCTGTGATTACCGGACGGGGCTGCTCGGGCGGCTCGGAGGTAGGGCGGCTCGGCGGCTCGGTGGCTCGGCTGCACGGCGGCTCGGCTGCAGGGCGGCTCGGCTGCTGGGCGGCTCGGCTGCAGGGCGGCTCGGTTGCTCGGCTGCTGGGCGGCTCGGCTGCAGGGCGGCTCGGCTGCTCGGCTGTCCGGCTGCTCAGCTGCTGGGCGGCTCAGCTGTGCTGCTGTACGGCGGCGCGGCGGTCGGCTGCTCGGCTAGGTGAGGCAGCTCGGGCGGCTCGGGTGGCGGGTGGCGCTGCAGCAGATGACGGGGCGCAGGTAGGGCGACGGGGCCGGGGCCGGGGCGCAGGTAGGGCGACGGGGCCGGGGTCAGAGGTGGGGCGACGGGGCCGGGGTTGCAAGCAGGGCGACGGGGCCGGGGCCGGGGCGCAGGTAGGGCGACGGGGCTAGGGGCGGAGCCGCAGGTATGGGGACGGGGCCAGGGTCGCAGGTGGGGCGACGGGGCCGGGGTCGCAGGTAGGGCGACGGGGCCGGGGCGCAGGTAGGGTGACGGGGCCGGGGCGCAGGTAGGGCGACGGGGCCGGGGCGCAGGTAGGGCGACGGGGCCGAGGCGCAGGTAGGGCGACGGGGTCGCTAGGGCGACGAATCAGGGGTCGCTAAGGCGGCGCGACTTGGCCGCTAGGGCGGCTCGACGAAGTCAGAGAGGGGAGCGCGACTCGGGCTGAGCGCGCTACGGGCAGGAAAAAACTTTCGACTTGGTGGGCCCTAGGCACAGTTCCCACGAGGGAACGTGCTCGATACCATGAGAAAACTGAAACGAGAATGGTGCACTAAGGAATGGAGTGTGGTACAAATATGCAACCCTAGAAATGTGTACCCCATATGGGCTACCCCACTACAGCCTACAGAACATTATGAGGTTACGCGAAAGTCAAAGGTCAGCAACCTTTGACCTGACAAATACAGCGCGACAGCAAGGACACACAACTGACTCGTTACAGAGCAGTTGCCCGAGTTGTCACTGTATCGAACTGCAACAGCAACAGTAAAGTAGTTATAAATGTGTCTTTTCATATTTCTTGTATTCATATATAATCTTGTATCTCTTTGCTTTAAGCAACTTACTTTGCCCTCACATACTAGCGCAAGGTGGTTCACAACCCTTTAACTAACGCTTCCGCTACTACACCAACTCTACCCAGAGTTCACCCCTGCAAAGATCCAAAGGGGCTTTTCAGCCCAACATGGTATGAGAGCAATCAGGGGGGATTCAACTTCTATACCGACAATATCAATCAGCATGGCTACACAAAAGGAAAGGAGCAACTCCAACGGCTCCCAGGGCACTACTCCTACTCCACCTCCTGCCTCTGGCCTACAGACAGAGGAGGGCACGACAACAAGACCCAGAGCAACATCTACCAAGACTCCCGCGAATCAACCTGCAGACTTCGACCAGAGCATGATGGAGAAGTTTTTCTCCTTCATGTCTTTCTACGAGCAACACCAGCAATCGGCACCTGCGCAGTCACACAACAGCAACAACAACAGAGCAACACCCATGAGTCTCGACGGCTCATCATATGCGCGAGGAAATCAACAACAGCAGCCTACCTTTGCTCCATACGAGCGCGGGTCCATCAGCTTTATGCCACACCCACAGCCTTCACCTGGACAAGAAAAATCACTGGACGCATTACAAGTTCAGTCGCAGTTCGCACACGTTCTGAAGATGCAGACGTCAAGACCCTTCGATGGAAAGGACTTCTTCACCTGGTCGTTCGAGTTCGAGCTGGTGATGGAAGGCGCGCAGATACTCGGGTTCTTCGACGGGTCTTTGCCATACCCAACAAACGGCACACAGTACGAGAAGCAGCAGTACACCTATCAGTCAATGATGGCGTACACGATCCTACTGAGGAATATCGCCCCGACTCAACAGCAGAACATAAGGTCTTACCGAGGTTACGGCAACTCCGCGGAGCTCGCGTACAACCACCTGAAGAGCCTGTATCAAGCAGCAGACAGCGTAAGCCAAAGTCGGTTAATGGCGCAACTGACAACGGTTGAAATGAAACCAGGGGAGAAAGGAATGGTGTATATCAATCGATGTCGCAAGTTGCGCGACAAGCTTCTTCGATGCGGAGGATCGATTTCTGAAGACGCCTTCATGACAGTCATCATCGGCGGCCTCGGTCCTCAATGGCGCGCCACAAAGGCCATTCTCCGAGCTCACGGAAGAATCTCCGAAGCAGCGCTCTGCGCTGAAATCCACGCCGAGCAGCAAGACATGGACCTGCAAGAAGAACGACACAAAAAGAAGACATCAGCACCGGAATTCGCGTTCCACACTCAGCGACGCTACAAAAACAACAACAACAACAACAACAACCGGCAGCAACAACCGAAGCCAGTACCTCTGTTTGTCAGAACATTATAGCTTATACATTTGTGTAGGCTGTAGTGGGGTAGCCCATAAGGGGTACAACCCAATTAGGGTTAGTACTTGTACCCAACTGTTTCACAGTTCATCCATTCCATTCTCACTTCTCGTCATGGTATCGAGTAGGTTCCCGAGTGGGAATACTGCCTAGGGCCCACCACGAACTTTTTTTCCTTCCCTGCCCAGAGCGCGCTTAGCTCCTAACCCGAGTAGCACCTCGAGCCGCCTTAGTGGCCCCTATTGGCCGCCCTTACTGCCCCTCGAGCCGCCCGCTACGGCCCCGCTTAGGCCCCGCCGGCCCCGCTACGGCCCCGCTTAGGCCTCGCTACGGCCCCGCTACGGCCCCGCTACGGCCCCGTCGGCACCGCTTAGGCCCCGCTACGGCCCCGCTACGGCCCCGTCGGCCCCGCGTAGGCCCCGCTACGGCCCCGCTACGGCCCCGTCGGCCCCATCGGCCCCGCTACGGCCCCGCTACGACCCCGCTACGGCCCCGCTACGGCCCCGCTACGGCCCCGCTACGGCCCCGTCGGCCCCGCTTAGGCCCCGCTACGGCCCCGCTACGGCCCCGTCGGCCCCGTCGACCCCACTTAGGCCCCGTCGGCCCCGTCGCGGCCTCGCTCAGTCCTCGCTTCGGCCCCGTCGGCCCCGCTTAGGCCCCGCTGCGGCCCCGCTACGGCCCCGTCGCGGCCCCGCTTCGGCCCCGTCGGCCCCTCTACGGCCCCACTTAGGCCCCGCTTCGGCCCCGTCGGCCCCGCTACGGCCCCGCTTAGGCCCCGCTACGGCCCCGTCGCGGCCCCGCTACGTCGCCCACTTCGGCCCCGTCGCCACCGCGGCCCCGCCCACCCTTGCGGCCCGCCGCCACCTGCAACCTCGCCACCACCTGCGACCGCGCCTCCCAGCGCCCGCAGCGCCGAGCAACCAAACCGCCGGCCACCTGAGCCGCCCGACCGCCCGAGCCACCCAGCAGCCGAGCCGCCCGACAGCCGAGCCTCCCAGCACCGTGCAGCCGAGCCGTCCAGCAGCCGAGCCGCCCAGCAGCCGAGCCGCCCTGCAGCCGAGCCGCTCGGCAGACAAGCCGCCGAGCAGCCCGATCGCTCCACCTACCTGGTAAGAGCACAGTCTCTACCACTGCACTGCCCTGCCTACTGCTGTTATGGCTTCCCCTAGCGTTCTCACCTTTGACGCTGAGGGTCGGGCAGTGGACTTTGAGGTCTGGGTAGATGATCTGCAGCTTTTCCTGCAGTGCGATAGGGCAGACGGCCTCTCCCTGTTTGACCCCACTTCTGGTGCCTCCCCTGCCCCTGCTGCTAATGCTGACGCCACTGTTCGCTCACAGTGGGCCACACGTGACGCTGCTGCTCGCCTTGCTGTGCGCCGCCACTTACCGACCACTGAGCGTGCACACTTTAGCCAGTACAAGAGTGCTCAGACCTTGTACGACGCTGTAGTTGCACGCTACTCTTCCCCTGCCACTGCTGCACTGAGCCGCCTCATGCTACCGTACCTCTTCCCTGACCTTGCTGCCTTTCCCACAGTCGCTGACCTCATTACGCACCTCCCCACTAGTGACACTCGCTACCGCGCTGCGCTTCCTGCTGAGTTCTGCGCCAAGAAGCCCCCCCCCCCATGTACATCACCCTCTACTACATAGTCACCCGTCTCCCTGACTCTCAGTGGAGTCAGGGACCGCTTCCTCTCTGTTTGCCCCACCACTCTCACCGTTGACCTCCTCGAGAAGGCCCTCCTAGCGATAGAGAAGAGCATAGTCGCTGTAGGAGCCTCTCGTGGTGACCCTCGCACCCCCGTCTTTGAGGGGTGTTCTTCCTCCCCTCTCTTGCCCTCTGTTGCCTCTGCTGCTGCGGCCGACCTCGTTGGTTTCGAGTCGGTCGGCGCTGCATCTGCCCCGAGCGGGAGACGCCGCACCGGCAAGGGCAAGGGGGGCAAGAGCACTGGAGAGGGTGGAGGGGGCGGTGGAGGTGGTGGTGGAGGCGGTGGAGGGAGTGGGGGTGGTGGTGGGAGTGGTGCTGGGGGTGGCGGCGGCGGCGGCAGCAGTGGAGGCGGCGGAGGCGGTGGAGGTGGCGGAGGGAGCGGAGGCGGCGGAGGTAGTGGAGGAGGCGGAGGTGGAGGAGGCGGCGGAGGCGGCGGAGGCGGCGGCGGCGGCGGAGGCGGCGGTGGTGGAGCGAGTCGCTACTCTGCGCCGAGGAGTGGCGCCGGTGGTGGTGAGCGCTAGCAGCAGCAGCGGAGTGGTGTGACCCTGTCCCCTCAGCAGCTTTGTGAGTGGTACACTGCACGCCAGCGCGGTGGGGGTTTTGGTCCCTGCTCTTACGTTCTCCGTACCGGCGACCGCACTGGTGAGCAGTGCGGAGGTCCGCACTCCACCCAGCGCTGCTTTGGTCGCCTGACGGACGCGTGGCGTCGCCAGTTCCCTGAGGCGTCAGAGATCCCTCGCTGGGGAGATCTGGCTAAGGCCGGGGCTACTATCTTTGATCTTGACTTTGATGCTATTCTTGCTGCCATGTATGCTGTTGCTGATAGTGTTGAGGGTGCCTGTTACCTGTGTGTACCGCCTGACCCGGGCATTGAGGCTGCTGTGCTAGGTGCTGGTGAGACTGCTGCTCTAGGTGCTAGTGCGTCTGCTGCCCCAGGTGCTAGTGCGTCTGCCGCCCAAGGTGCTGGTGAGTCTGCTCTCTCAGGTACTACGTCGGCTCAGGCCTTCCACACCTTCACCCTGGACTCAGGTAGCTGCGTCGAGTCAGGTGTTTGCTGCGGCGTCCAGGTCTGGTTCTGAGTCTGCCCCCTGCTCGTGTCGTCTGCTGTCCCACCAAACTCTCCTTTGGCACCACCGCCTTAGTCACCCCTCCTTGCCTCGTCTCCGAGGCATGGCCTCCCGTGTCCTTGTCTCTGGTCTTCCTTGGTCTCTCCCTCCCCTTCCTCCGGGGCCTGGTCCTACCTGCGTCCCCTGCGTCGAGGGGCGACAGCGCGCCGCCCCTCACTCCTCCGAGTTTCCTCCGACAGAGGCTCCGCTGCAGACTCTACACATGGACGTGTGGGGCCCAGCCCGCGTCAGTGGGCAGGGGAGAGAGCGGTACTTTCTGCTGGTCATTGATGACTACTCGCGTTACACCACAGTCTTCCCCTTGCGCAGCAAGGGTGACGTCACTGAGGTGTTGATCGACTGGATCTGCGCAGCTCGTCTCCAGCTCAGAGAGAGTTTCGGCTCGGACTTTCCTATTTTGCGTCTGCACTCGGACAGAGGAGGGGAGTTTTCCTCTGCCCGTCTGGGAGCCTTCTGTCGGGCATAGGGCATCCGCCAGACCTTCACGCTTCCGGCCTCTCCACAGCAAAATGGGATTGCTGAGCGCCGCATTGGCATGGTCATGGACGTCGCGCGTACGTCCATGATGCATGCGGCTGCCCCCCATTTTCTGTGGCCATTTGCGGTTCAGTACGCGGCGCATCAACTCAACCTTCAGCCCCGGGTCTCCTTCCCAAAGACCTCCCCCACCTTGCGGTTGACAGGGAAGGTTGGCGATGCATCTGCGTTTCGGGTCTGGGGATCTCGGGCGTTTGTCCGCGACTTGTCTGCGGACAAGCTGTCCCCCCATGCTGTTCCTTGCGTCTTTCTTGGCTTCCCCCCTGACGCGCCTGGCTGGCAGTTTTACCACCCCACCACGCGCCGTGTTCTGTCCTCCCAGGACGTCACCTTTGACGAGTCGGTGCCTTACTACCGTCTCTTCCCCTACCGCACTGCGCCCCTCCCCCCGCCGCCGCTCTTCCTTGCGCCAGGTGCTACCAAGGTAGACCCCCTCCTTCCTCAGGGTCCTACCCCTTCAGGTGTGTCCCAGGTAGACGCAGTCGAGCCTGTCGAGGTAGCTGTTGACTCTGGTGCTGCTAGAGGTGCTGAGCCTGCGGGTGCCGGGTCTGCGGGTGCCGGGTCTGGGGGTGCTGAGTCTGGGGGTGCTGAGACTGGAGGTACTGAGCCTGGGGGTGCTGAGCCAGGGGGTGCTGAGTCTGGGGGTGCGGAGCCTGGGTGTGTTGGGTCTGCTCGTGTGGCCGCCGGCGGTACTTCGTCGAGGCGGGAGCCGCTCTCTCCACAGGAGCTGCGCGTGTGGTTCGCCCGCCGCTGGAGACGTGCTGTTGAGTCTGGGGGTACTGCTGGAGCTGCTGGGGGTGTTGGCGCTGGTGTTTCTACTGGTGCTGGTGCGTCTGGGGGTGCTGCTGAGGCAGCTGGTGCTGACGGTCCTACTGGAGTTGGTGCTGTTGGAGCTGGAGCTGCTGGGGGTGTTGGCGCTGGTGTTTCTACTGGTGCTGGTGCGTCTGGGGGTGCTGCTGAGGCAGCTGGTGCTGACGGTCCTACTGGAGTTGGTGCTGCTGGAGCTGGAGCTGCTTGGGGTGTTGGCGCTGCCGGTGCTGCTGGCACTGGTGCTTCTGGGGTACTGGAGTTGGCGCTGTTGGAGCTAGAGGTTTTGCTGGCGCTGGTGCTGCTTTTGGGGGTAGTGGTGCCGTACTTGCTGGTTCCGGAGGCGCTGAGCGGCCGAGGCCGTACTTCGTTCCGCTCCTGGAGCAGGTTCTTGGTCTTCCGCCCTCTACTGGTCCTACTCCTCCCCTAGAGTGTCCACCGCCTGTCCAGTCGCAGTCACAGTTACCGCCCGCCTCCCCTCTACCTGCTCCTTCTCCCTACACTGGTCCTACTGGAGGTCTTGCTGAGCGTCGTGAGCCTGCGTCTCGTCCCGCGTCACCTGTTCATGCTGCTCGCACTAGTGGTCGTACTGCACGTCCGCGTCCTCCTGCGGTCCCCGGCACACACCAGATAACACTGCGTCCTTCCACTGCTCCTCTGCGTGTCCCATTGCCGTCTCCTCCAGAGTCCTCTCTTCCTTCTCTTACTAACCCGGAGTCTGACTCTCTTCGTGCTGCTAGTCCTTCGGTCACGCGCCTTCTTGCTATTGTCGTCACTGACCCTTCCTTTGAGTGTGCTGCTGCGTCTGCTCTCGTTGCTGAGCTTGTCGACTTCGCTGCTCGCTGTCGTCTAGACTACGCTGCTAGTCTTGTTGCTGAGTCTGAGTCTTTCTGTCCTCCATCCGTCGGGGGTGAGTGTGCTCTTAGCACGGACGTCCTTGAGGACAGGCAGGAGGAGTTCCAGTGCTTTGCGGCTGCTTTGTCCCATCTCGTGTCCACGCTGATTGCCCCTGAGGGAGACCCGGATGCACCAGACATCCCGACTCCTCGATCGTACGCTGAGGCGATCGAGGGTCGCTACTCCTCTCAGTGGCAGTCGCCCATGGACGCAGAGATGGCTTCCTGGAAGTCCACAGGCACCTACGTCGACGAGGTTCCCCCACCTGGGGCGAATATCGTTAGTAGGATGTGGATCTTCAGGGCGAAGCGGCCGCCGGGCTCTCCGCCTATCTTCAAGGCGCGTTACGTGGCTCGAGGCTTCAGTCAGCGGCAGGGAGTTGACTACTTTCAGACCTTCTCTCCCACCCCGAAGATGACCACTCTTCGGGTGCTGCTGCACATAGCCGCTCAGCGCGACTACGAGCTTCACTCTCTTGACTTCAGCACTGCTTTCCTGGCACGAGGGCAGCCTGCACGAGGAGATCTGGCTGCGCCGCCCTCCTGGCTTCACTGGGTCGTTTCCTCCTAGCACCCAGTGGAGCCTCCGACGGCCAGTCTACGGTCTCCGCCAGGCGCCCCTGAGTGGCACGACACACTGAGGACTACACTTGCGGCTCTTGGGTTTGCTCCTTCTACAGCCGACCCGTCGCTGTTTCTGCGCACCGACACCTCTTTGCCGCCGTTCTACATCCTCGTGTACGTCGACGACCTGGTCTTTGCCACTGCTGACACTGCTGGACTCGCCCACGTGAAGTCCGAGCTGCAGAAGAGACACACGTTCACAGACCTGGGTGAACTGCGCAGCTACCTTGGCTTGCAGATCACCCGGGACAGAGCACAGCGTACCATTACCCTGACTCAGTCACACATGGTGCAGCAGGTCCTTCAGCGCTTCGGCTTCACGTACTCCTCGCCTCAGGCCACTCCTCTGTCTACTCGCCACTCGCTCTCAGCTCTGCCTTCGGATGAGTCCGTAGAGTCGAGTGGCCCGTACCCAGAGCTTGTTGGCTGCCTCATGTACCTGATGACTTGCACACGACCCGACCTTGCATACCCTCTTAGCATCTTGGCACGCTATGTTGCTCCTGGGAGACACCGACCAGAGCACATGGCTGCAGCGAAGAGGGTGTTGCGCTACGTGTGCAGTACGTCGGGCATGGGGCTAGTGCTTGGAGGGCGACGTCGAATAGTCCTCACAGGTCACGCTGACGCTTCTTGGGCTGACGACCAGGCTATGCAGCGGTCGTCACAGGGTTATACCTTCAGCCTTAGCTCCGGCTCTGTTTCGTGGCGGTCTACCCGCTCGTCCTCTGTTCTCGGCTCCAGCTGTGAGGCTGAGATCTACGCAGGGGCCATGGCTGCACAGGAGCTACGCTGGCTCACTCACTTGCTGACTGACCTAGGAGAGCCGCCTCGTTCTCCTCCAGTTCTGTACGTAGACAACAAGGCCATGCTGGCCTTGTGTTGGGAGCAGAGACTGGAGCACAGAACGAAGCACATTGCTCTCCGCTACTTCCTGTCTCGTGAGCTGCAGCAGCGTGGTCAGCTCCACCTCACCTACGTGGCCTCTGAGGGCAACACTGCTGATATCTTCACCAAGGCCCTTCCACCTTGTGATCATCAGCGCTTCTGTACTGTGCTAGGTCTTGTGCCTACCTGGCCTTACTTGCTCACTTCTTGATCTTGTTTGTACTGTCTTCTTTCTATACCTGCCCTTGCTTGTTTTACCTTTATATATATGACCTTGCATGTGAACTGGCCTTGTGGCCTTACTCTTGTGCTCGGAATGTGTGGTGACTTTGTGATCCACCCTGAGCTTGCTTTGCTTTGCTTGACTGGTCTTGTGACCACTTGTTCTCCCCCACTTTGCCTATGGGGGTGTGTCAGAACATTATAGCTTATACATTTGTGTAGGCTGTAGTGGGGTAGCCCATAAGGGGTACAACCCAATTAGGGTTAGTACTTGTACCCAACTGTTTCATAGTTCATCCATTCCATTCTCACTTCTCGTCACTGTTCTGCCACATCTGCAAAACTTCAGGACACCCGCGTACGCACTGCCCGAATCGTCAACAGTCAACAACTCCACAGCGGCAACTTCGACCTTCAAGCAGCCAAATCGCCTCAACGCAAGCAAATCCCACGACTCAGATTCAAGCCTCAACGACCTCAACATTACAACCTGCACAAGGAGCAAGAAACATCGTCAGCTGCATGGCAAAGCTGAGTGACTCCTGCATCACCGAGTCACCACCACACTACTCACCGGAAGAACAACTCGACGAAACCACACCCTGCCGCGAGTCACTTCAGCCGAACCCGACATACGCCGCCATCGCCCAAAGCGAACCATCCGGAAAGGACACATGGTTCTTGGACAGTTGCTGCGGACATCACATGTGCTCCTTGGGACGCTTCGTTCAACGAGAACACCAACTTCAACGCGAAGTTGTCATTACAGTCGCCAACAATCAGAACCTGCGAACACGACGACAAGGCGTAGTTCAACTTCAGTCAAGGGAAACAAACGTTATACTGCAGATGTCAAAAGTACTAATCGCGGAGGGACTCGGCTACAACTTACTGAGCGTCAGTCAGCTAATGGCGAAAGGGATTCACCTCGAAGCAGACAGCACCACCCAAGAATTCAAGCTGTATCACGGGAGAGGAGGACTCTACATCGGCAAGGCGGTCCTCAAGAACAACGTCTTCGTTCTTGACTTCGTTCCTGATCTCGGCACCGCCGACAGCGACACCATCGTTAACTTCACCAACTAGACACACCCTCCAGACCTTGATCGAGACTTCAGTCCAGAAGGCTTCTGGTATTCACACACCATCCCCGAAGCAGAAAGAACAAAGGCGTTAGCAAAAATTCAGACAACATAAGCAGCAGCAGAAACAACATCAGCAGCAGCAGAGACAACATCAGCAGCAGGAGAGACAACATCGGCAGCAGCAGAGACAATATCGGCAGCAGCAGAGACAACATCGACAGTAGCAGAACCATCAACGGCAGCAGCAAGAACGTCAACACCAATTGCTGGTCCTTCAACGACACCGCTCCTCATCGACGACACACCACCGACACCCGCGCAACAACTACACCCAGCACCACGAGAAGTTCATCGTAGCGCCAACTTCACCGCCAACTTCTACTCCAACTCTGATATGTACCGACGATCACCCGGACATCGCGCCGACGAAAGCACCTGACACGCAAGGATGGGACACCCAAGCAACACAGTATTAAACAATACGATAAGAGCAGGAGTACTCGACAAGGACTCACTCCTACTGACCGACGGACGAGAACTTCAACGAGTACGCGGAACGTGCTTCACCTGCCCTGAAGGTGACTTACCACATCGACCGTTTGCGTCTCATCACAACCCGAGCGCATCCGCGTACGCTCCACTCGAGAAGGTGTATAGCGACATCCTGTTCAATCGGGAACCAGGACAAGTGATATACAACTATACAATCACCTTCATCGACGCTGCCACCCGTTACGTCTCCCACCTAAACCTCCCTAGCCGCGACATGGCATTCGAAGCCTTCGTTGCTTGGCTACCAGTAGCAGAGAGAGAATCGGGCGTGAAACTGAAAAGCTTCCAGTCAGACGGAGGAGGAGAATACACCTCTCAGCGATTCAAGCAGTACCTGGCGGAAAGGGGAATCAAGCGGCTCATCTCCCTTCCCTACGCCCATCAACAGCAAGGTGTAGTAAA